CATGCCAACTTTAATATGCAATTTCACCTTATGTATGTAAAATGACCTCAAGCATTTATTCAACTATAATTATTTTGACAGCTATTCTTACCATTCCCTCCTTCAATGTCCTGCTTGGCTTTGATCAGGGTTCTCAAACGGCTGACCTCTTGCCTTTTTAGTTCATCCAGCTTGGTTCTCACGTGGTGGCTGACAAAGTCAAGCTCTTTAGCCAACTTCCCTTGCTGAAATCAGTAGGAATGAACAGATTAGCTATGTGTGACCTTTGTATTATACAACACAAATAAAGCCATGCTGTTTCTTACCTTTATATCTTCCATGTCTGTGTTGTGGAGCTTTTCTCTAAAATGTTGATCTTTTTCAAGGAAATCAATAACTTCTCTGAGATAGCGGTCATAGTGTAGTCCGGTGTCCTACAAATATAATATAAATATATTATACATAAAAATAACATAAATACATAATTATATAATGTCAAATATAAAAGTGTGTTATGAAGTGTTTTCAAAAATCACCATGCATATTTATGCAACCTGACACTCTAAGGCCACTTATAACTTGTTGCCAAAGTTTGTTATATAATTGGCTGATCAAATGTTTCTTACCACACTCTGGGGAGGCTCTTTGACTGTTTCCTCTGGGAGTTTCACCTTAGTTTTATCTAAACTTATTGGCACTGCCTTGGCCCAGGACATCACACTCACCAATACAAGGCAGCTGGCGAGGAGTCCCTTTAAACAGGACATCTGGAAAAATTAGCAAACATATGGATTAGACATCAAGCCGGAGATGACAGCTCTTTCATATTTTATATTGTTTGTATCGCAAAACCTAATGAGCCGTCTACCACTTTTGGAAATCTGAAAGTAAAAAAAAAAAAAAAAAATCTGTCTAGCCTAGATAGGCGGCTCACTACTAGGGTTGTAACACAGCCACTGATTGGCAGTTCAGCTCTCCAATAAATCCGTTACTAAGGATAAACGACATTATCAGGCAGTTAGCGGGTCACTATATTACAGAGACACTGCAAATATACGTGGTTTTGCTGGCAAGCTATAATTGTAACACAGAGATGTGGTTTGAAAGGGTTGCTGATCTCGATACATAGAAGCTAATTTCATTAGCTTTCCATTGCCAGTGAAGTATATGCCAGACGTTATAGCGAAACTCGCTGTCCATTTTATACGTGAAAAAAGTTGAATTGTTGATGCTCTATTTGGGTTAATGTATCCGGAGCGATTCACAATTAAATAATGGCACTTACGGTGTCAGGTCGGTTTCTATCGAGCTATCTCTGGTGTTTTCTGCTTCCTTTCATTACCGCTGGCTTCCTGACTATCCGCTATCTTGGACTGATGATGATGACTAACAGTAACAGAGCAGCTAGCGAGCTAACCGAGTGCAGCAGCAGGAGTCAGAGCTCGTCCACGTAGATCAAGCGCACGGTGTTTGGGCTTGAGTGATATTGTTTCCTATGACGCAAATACGACTTCCTGAAGGGGGCGCATGGCGGCTCAGAAAGGCGAATGATCAACTGGCGTTTTTTTTTTTTTTGAAATATTTTTACACTTAAAACATTATAGATTAAAACTTGATAAGTATACTGTTTGCTACACGTAAGTTTCAGAACATTCTATAAAATGTATAACAAATGTATAGAAAAATCATTATTCATTCATCACAAACGTGTATGATTGGTCCGTTCTGACAAGCACTGAAAATTTTAATTTAACCGATAAAAATACGACGTAAAGAGTTATCATGTCTTCGGATAATAATAATAATAATGGATGTATGGATAATAATTTAAACCCGATCATACGCCCATTTCATAACTCTGTTGTACGCGCCGGTTCAATCCACTTATTCTATTTCTAGAGACTCCAGCCCTCTATGCTCCAGCCACGCTTACAGCAGTTGGTCTTTTCTTGGAGCGCCACCAGCTGGTGAATATGAGAAGAGTGATGGGGAAAAATATCTAAATTAATAGTTTTTTCTATTGTTTTTTCTATATTATTTTACATTACAGATATAACATAGGATGACAGCAATGAAGTAAATGCTTGAAAATACAAACATAAATAAGATAATACAATTGTGAACATTACATCACATAATGTTAAATTAGAGTATGACAAAGACCTTAGCTAAATGTAGATTGAACCCAAAATGTTAGGTTAGAAAGAGGAAAGATCATCCACTGGCTCATAATTTACATTATTACAAATATTTTTTTTAAAGTTGTTAAAAATTATATGATCACTGACATTTATTTTTATGCAAAATGTTTAGAAGGACTTATCTGGATTTATTGGAAATAAACAATTAATAGGATGGGGTTTTTTTCAGTTCAAACATAGATGACAGAAAACAAAATGGAAAAGATATTTCAAAAAGTACATTATAACAAGTAAAAAAAAAAAAAACAGAGGCATTCAATATCTCTCTTCATCCATATTTTATTAAGGTAGCAAAGGAATTGTACACCAGATTGAAAAAGGCGGTTGATAACTAACACGTAAAGATTAGGTCAAAATTAAGTCATTTACTACTAAACTTACTAAACAACATAGTCTGAAAAAAATCAATATATAAAACCAAAGATCCAAAAACAAATGATCCTTGAATCAACAGACGGAAAATGATATTCTACATCACTTCCGCCACCATACTTCACTTCCTCTCGGCCTAGGCTCGGTCTTTCTCTTTCTTCGGTCTCTAAACCGCCATCATGGGTCGTATGCACGCTCCTGGGTAAATGTTTATTTTACGCTAAAAACACCGTCTATGGACCATACTGCCTACCCAAAATACAGTTAACTCTTTATAAGATAGACTGAGCCTGGAATATGTATTTCATTCGAGCTAGAAAAGAGTTTGTGAGAAGTCAGAATATAGTCCCACGTTCTCTTCCTCTGTGTAGCGTGATGGCAGCACATGTACAATGAGGCGCTGCAGGATGGATAAATGAACGATCTTTATACACTGATTCATCTAACATCGACAGTTTGTCGGTTCGGGTATCATGTCGTTTAGTTTCACGTAACCTACGTTTTGGTGTCAAAATGTGTTCGGCGGTTCGTTAGGTCTTATAGTTACATGTTGGTTTATTGCATATACAAGTGTTATATACTGGACCAATTCATTTTAAGATTATTTTGATTGTACAACCCCTTTAGGTTCGCTTATAGTTTATATTTCCTTTATTTTATATTACTTGCTGTCAGTTAACATGTTTACAGCTTGGCTTACTGCAGAATAAGTGGAATTGTTTAAGTTGTAATTTAATGTTTCATTCTGGAAGACACGTTTAACATGGAAGAACGTTTTATTTTTCAGCAAGGGTTTGTCCCAGTCGGCACTGCCCTATAGACGAAGTGTCCCCACAGTAAGTCCATTGATTCTGATTCTTCATATGGAAGTACAATGCCTTTCTAAGTTGTCAAGGCTGTTAAAATATCCATTTATTATGTCTTTTAGTGGCTCAAATTAACATCCGATGATGTTAAAGAACAAATCTTCAAACTGGCCAAGAAGGGTCTGACCCCCTCACAGATTGGTAAGTTCTGACTGATATAAAATGAATGTTACTGCAAGTCGTGTCCATTGTATAACATTATTTTCACAGGATTCTCTATAGCACATTTCATACAGAATGGTCATGCAAAGACAAGTTTGAAATCAATTCAGTACATTAAAGGAACCACGTTTAAAAATCAACTAGTATAAATAAAATGAATGCAGTCGGATTAGTAAAATAATTACAGCTGAGGCACACTTTACATTTGTAATCTGATTTCCAATAGAAGAGAGAGAGAATGCTTTCATGTTCAGTTGTCAATTTATAGGCTTGTTTATGCATCTTAAAGGGTTAGTTCACCCAAAAATGAAAATTATGTCATTAATGACTCACCCTCATGTCGTTCCAAGCCTGTGAGACCTCCGTTCATCTTCGGAACACAGTAGTTTAAGATATTTTAGATTTAGTCAGAGTTTACTGTCCCTCCGTTGAAAATGTATACACGGTATACTGTCCTTGTCCAGAAAGTAAATAAAGACATCATCAAAGTTATCCATGTGACATCAGTGGGTTAGTTAGAATGTTTTGAAGCAGCGAAAATACATTTTGGTCCAAAAATAACAAACTACGACTTTATTCAGCATTGTATTGTCTTCCGGTTCTGTTGTCAATCCGCGTTCAGTGACGCTGGGGACTTAAGACGCTGCTGACGTGTTCTCTGGTGCGAAAGAGCTTCGTTCACAGTCTGAGGGAGACGCACATGGGACAGTATACCGTACATACATTTTCAATGGAGGGACAGAAATCTCTCGGACTAAATCTAAAATATCTTAAACTGTGTCCCGAAGATGAACGGAGGTCTTAGGGGCTTGGAACGACATGAGGGTGAGTCATTAATGACATAATTTTCATTTTTGGGTGAACTAACCCTTTAATGGGCACTTCAACAATTCAACTTTTCAAGTTTTCATATTTCTAAACTAAATGTAGCAGCCCACATTGTGTTTTGTCTGCACAATTTCATTATCAAGAAGCTGATATCTCTTGCTCTTCTCATTAGGTGTGATCCTGAGGGATTCCCATGGTGTTGCTCAGGTGCGTTTTGTCACTGGCAACAAGATCCTTAGGATCCTGAAGTCCAAAGGCCTGGCCCCTGATCTGCCTGAGGATCTCTACCACCTTATCAAGAAGGCTGTTGCTGTGAGGAAGCACTTGGAAAGGAACAGAAAGGTAATGAAATTAAAACACATGCAAGATCATTTCGGAGATTTCTAGAAAAATCTATTCAGTGCACTTCAACAGTTTTCTCACCATTGTCACTTGTTTTGCAGGACAAGGATGCTAAGTTCCGCCTGATTCTGGTTGAGAGCAGAATCCACAGGCTTGCCCGCTACTACAAGACCAAGAGAGTACTTGCCCCCAACTGGAAGTAGTGAGTGTTTGAGTCGTTTTAGAACCAAAATTGAAATCCCTCCTGTATGTGCACATTTCATTGTCCCATTCTTCACTTGTTAAGAACTGAGATATTTCTTATGTGCTAGATAAACTTTGGAGGTAAATTAGCAGTTTGGCTTGAATGTGCCACCACTGCCAGTCCCCTTCACACAAAAAAGCTGCTTTGTCTTTCAAAATGAATTTTTTTCCACTGAATCTTTTAACTGATTTATTTGTTTTCATCCACAGCGAATCCTCCACAGCTTCTGCACTGGTGGCATAAATTTGCAGTTTTTTGGACAAATAAAGATATTTGGATCAATTCATATGTTTGTGTTGTCAGACTGATTTTCTTTCCTCAAGTTGGGTACAGAACTGTTGTGATCCTAATTGATGTTTCGGAGTAGAATACAGCTGCCACATGCCTGTATTCATTTGAACATCTCATTCAGAATCCATTGTAACTGAACATTCACTTGTATTTTTGCATGTTCAAACAAAGTTCATTTATGGGTGATGCAGTTGTGAAGATTCAAAGTTGAGCTATTGAATTATATACTTTATCACTTTGCAAACATTAAAAGTAGTGTATTGGCAACATTGTGTAGTGCATGTGTTTGTGTTATTGGTAGTGTTATTAACAGGGTTTCTAGGCAGAGCGTGTTCCGCTCAATTCAGCAGCAGATAAAGGAGAAAACAATCATCTAAAATGGACTGTACTTTGCTGTTTCGTGATCGTGTAACATCCACATTTACAGTATCAAACTGATCTGTCAAGCAAAAATATGTGCAGGTTATAAAGCGTTTTGGTTTCTTATGTAAGCATGTTATCACTTCGAGAAAACCAATGGAAGAAAATGAAAATATTTACAGATGACTACTATATACCAAAAATAATTTGAGTCTGGAAAAGTATGGAATTTTGAAATTTGTAGAAAGCATGTATAAAGGACATTGAGATTAAATGGGTTAAATCACTGCTCAACAAATGGCAAGCGTAGCCATTGTTACAACAGAAAAGCTAGAAGAGAAAGCAGGTCAATTTAGTAGCTATTGTCTTGTGGACATGAAATTCACTGAATGGCCAGAGATCTAATTACAACTGTCATTTAACTGGCTCTAATAAAAAATTAAAAAAAAAATTAAATGGTAATTTTTGATCTAGACTGAATTCCTACAACACAACAAATGTTTGTGCTCCTGTATTGGATTGTGAAACCACTGAAAATTAGACAGAAATTCCAAACTTCCATCTGTGTTCACCATAATACACCCGTCTTGATGGAGCTAAAATGTTACTATTTTCAGGAATATCTGCATGGCCCAGTAAATTTAATAATAAAAGTTGGCAAGCTGATTCAGTAGATATGTTCTTAGAATATGATATGCATATTATTAAATTAGAATTAGATTATGATAAGTAACTCTACGTGCAGAGAAAGACCACAGAGGAAAACTGCTTTAGAACAGGGCTATGCAACCCTGATCAAAATCACCTGCCTGTTACTTTTTGGTAACCCAGAAGACCTTGATTAGCTTGTTCAGGTGTGTTTGATTAAGGTTAGAGCTGGAATGTGCATCATAAGGAGGCAAGATTTGCCCACTCCTGCTTAAGAAGTTGCAATATGTTGATAAAACATCAAAAATTGCCTGAAAAATTGACAGCGTTAAGAATCTCATTGTCCACTAGAGGTCAGTGTTCACTCACCATAAGACATTTGTGCTAATGGTGGCCTAAAATTCTTCCAAAGTGTGAAGTAATGAATATTAAATCTCCTGCAATAATAAAGGCTGTATAATAGAATATATTGAATGAAATAGTCACATGTTGTACAGTATTTTTTAATAAGACGTGCAAATAGACATATTCGTTTTGTCATTTTTGAAATGGTTAAGGATGTCTTCAGTCAGCCTTTCATAACCGGCACTTTTTATATGCTTTAAACATTTATCTTTGTTTAATGAATGGAGTCTGTTTTTTATACAAAAAGCATTTGCTGCCATTCCAATCATCACTGTAGGAAAGCAGGTGTTTCTGTAAAGCTCTGAAAAGCTGTGATGGTCTATTATGAACAGCACCATAACCCGTTTTTAGTTTGATTAAAATAAATTAAGAGCTGACAGAGGTCACATCACTGAGATGAGGTAGTTTTCTTTAGTTGTGAAATTAAATAAAATACACTTTATGGAAAGTGTGGTGTAACACTTTCACTGTAAAAAGTGATCAGTTGACTTAACTTAAAAAAAGTGAGGAAAGCCACTGCTTTAAAGTTATTAAGTAAATAAATTTCATGTGTAATTGAAGAAAAATTTGTCAAGTTGATAACTTAATTTAGTCAATTACGTATGAAGTTTTTTCACTTAATAACTTTAAGGCAGTGGCTTTCCTCACTTTTTAAGTTGTCAACGGATCACTTTTTTACAGTGTAACACTTAAAAGCTGTTTTTAGATGTGTACATAATGATATTTTTTTGTATTTTGAATCAGCTTTTATTTTTCTATTTTTATTTTTCAAGTTTTTAAACTTTAGACAACATTTTTAGTCATTTTGTTATGTGCTTTCGGCACATTTTTATTTATAAAAAAAATGGCTATGTAGGTTTAATTTACTTCAGTTTTAATTTGTTTTAGTTTTTATTGATTTCCAGTTCATAATTTTAGTGTTTTAAACTTATTTCATTTCTATTTTTCATTTAGTTTAAGTTTTTCAAATATCATATTTTATTTCAGCTTTATTTCAATAAACATAGATATTTTGAATAGTTTCATATGCTGTAGCCTACTGAAACTGTTTTAAATGCACATGTATTTGCAAATATATTCATTATTAATCACTTAGCAGATTTAAGACATGCATGCATTTTGAGATCAAAATGCATGCGCTACATGTATGAGGCACATTTTTTCAAAGGTTTAAGAAAACCTCATTAAACAGAGGAAGAAGACACCGTGAGAGTCGCCCACTGCAGATCACTTTATTCTGTATGCAGCGATTTAACTGCAGTTGCCTCTGTATGAACCTCTCCTGTGAGAGAAAAGTAACACTGAGTCACCTTGCAGCATTTGTGAGCTGCTGGCAGTGTTGAGGAAACCATCAGCAGTGCAATACTGCAGAGCTGCGCAGGACTGCACCCCATCACTGAATGTGTGCGACTGCAAGGGATAAGACAGAGTAGACGGAAGACCTTTTAAGTGGTATTACAGAAAGCCCCTAATTCAAACAAGCCTATTAGCTGAACATGTGCTGTGCTCTTTTTTTAGGCATATGGCGTTTTATTCAGGCGGACTGGGGGCACAACATGGAACGCGGTCAGGTCCCACGGTGCTGGTATGCCTCTGTAAGGTTACCATTCTCTCAATCACATCTAATCCCAAATCAACATGAACTGCTTGTCAGTCAAAGCCAAGGGATTCGGCTGCATAAAACTGCTGACACAATATCAAAGTGCCCTCTGCAGATGTCTTTTTTTGCTTGATTTTTATATGAACAAGAGTTTTAGGGGTCTTACGAATCCCAATGTCTTCTTTCGAAATAATCCATTATTTATGTATTTCAGTAGCTGAATGCTTTATTATTAAGATCAGTAAAAGAATTGAAATGATTTGTCAGAAAATAAATAGAATAAACCCACAGCTGCCTTTGTAGCAAATACCAACACTGCAGCCACAAGCATCTTTTTCCATTCTGTATCATCAGTGTCTCTTCTGTTGGATTTTAAGTCATGCTTAGGGGGAAACATTGCATCAAACCAACAAAAGGCTTGCCGACAAAAGCAACTCCAAAGGGATTATGTGCTAAAATATTTATACGGCTCTGAAGTGTTTGATGTAGATACACAACTGGAGTCAAATGGCTGTTCTTGGTGAGAACAGAGTGTAAAAACAGAGTGTAAATCAGGGATACAAGGGAAGATCACGTGTTTTGCGCCAAATTTCCATCAATGACTGCTTTTTATCCCAGCCAATTCATATGATATGGTGGTGAGGATAGGAGCAGGCTTCACTCTGATGAATTTTAAGAGTGCTGGCCTAAAAGATAACATATAAAATGGAAAAGAGGCCGCACTATGCATATATTGTTTATTTTTGCACAAATGCAAAAATTGTGCAAAAATAAACAATATATGCATAGTGCGGCCTCTTTTCCATTTTATATGATATGGTGACCATGGATTTGCCAAGTATATGTTAAAGCAATATCCTGCAACAACATTTCTTTTACAGTTTTTATGTAAAAATATTTATGATGAATTGCAGAGCAACACAAAAAAGGAGAGAAAAAAAGAATATGAACATACACAGTGCCTTGCGAAAGTATTCGTGCCCCTTAATCCCCCCCCCCCCCCCCCCCCCCCCCCCCATCAATCTACACTCCATACACCATAATGACAAGGCAAAAAAAAAAAAAAATTTCAGATACTTTGAAAATTTCCTTAAAATAAAAAACTGAAATAATAACAGTGCATTAGTATTCGCATCCTTGGACACTTGAAATGTAGCTCAGGAGCATTCCAATTTTCCTTGTAGATGTTACACTTTCAGTGGAGTTGACCTGTGGCTAAATCAATTGAATGGGTATGATTTGGAAAGTCACACACCTCAATAAAAGGTCTAACAGCTGAAAATGCATATCAGAGCAAAAACCAAGCCATAAGGTCAAAAGAACTACCTATTTCTGAGCTCTCAGAATTCGTTTGACCTCATGGCTTGGTTTTTGCTCTGATATACATTTTCAGCTGTTAGACCTTTTATTGAGGTTCACAGAAGCACCATAATCCTTAATGAAAGAAGTTTGGAACAATCAGGACTCTTCCTAGAGCTGGCCAAACTGAGCAATCGATGGAGAAGTTATAATGGTGACCAAGATGCTGATGGTCACTCTTGAGCTCCATGAGCATATATGGAGATGGGAGAAACTTACAGAAGGACAAACATCAATGCAACACTCCACCGATCTGGGCTTTATAGCAGAGTGGCTCAAGCCTCTCTTAGTGAAGACACATGAAAAAAAAAAACCCACTTAATCAGCAAAAAAGCACCTAAAGGACTCTTTCAGACTGCGAGAAACAAGAAACCAGGCACTGCTCATCACCTGCACAATACCATCCCAACAGTAATGTATGGTGGTAGCAGCATCTTGTTGGGGGCAGTGATCTTCAGAGGCAGGGATTTGGTGACTCGTCAGGGTAGATGGAAAGCACAATGCAGCAAAATATAGAGATAGCCTTACTGAAAACCTAGTCCAGAGCACTCAGACTAAGCAGAAGCCTTCCAACAGGACAATGACCCTAAGCACAAGACCATGCAAGAGTGGCTCATGGACAACTCTATGAATGTCCTTGAGTGGCCCAGCCGAAGCTCGAACTTGAACCCAGTCAAACATCTCTGGAAAAACCTGAAAATGGCTGTCCACCAACGGTCCCTATCCAACCTGACAGAGCATGAGAGGATCTGAGAAGAATGGCAGAACAATACTAATGCAATGTACTTATTTCAGTTTTTCAAGAGAGTATTTCATTTTCTGTTTTTTGCTTTGTCATTATGGTTATGGAGTGTAGACTGATATATTTTTATATATATATATATATTCTTCTAAGGTACTACTTTTTCTCATTTTTACAAGAATGTTCTACCAGGAAAATACATATTTTTTATTACAACCTCATTTTCATCCGTATGATATTTCTATGAGAAATTAAAAACCACACATCTGAATATGTAGTGATGTTTATTGTATTTTAAAATGCAATATATCACTCGAACCAGAATGTAAATCTTATAAAGACAATGAATTTAAAAATAGGGAACCCACTGTGAAAGGTTCCAGCAGTTTGCCAGAAATACAGTCCTTATTTTTTGGTAGATTGACATATACATTGTGACATATGAAGCGTGACTTTGAGCGGTGCCTCTTATACACTAAGGATGAAATTTGAATGGCATGAGAAGACAAGTCCGGTTTGACGCAGTGTAAGCATTATTGTAATGCTGGTTGAGATGGCTCATTCTCAGTTCAGCCAAAGTAGTATAGAGCTATTAGATCGAAACCCTCAGCTGTGTCATTTTTATTCACTCTAGTACACACACAAACAAGAAAAAACATCATGACCTTCCTTACATTAACTGCTGCCAGCACTGAATGACCTTTAGAGGTGCACTCAGTCCTTTCTCTGCCATATGTTACATTTAAGGAGGAGCTCTTTTTACAACGATGTCACACTCATGAGATGAAGATTCCAGTCACATCATAGTATATAAAAAGTTGTTTTGTTTTACATTAAGCCCATTGCCTCTCAGGGGGTGACATATTAAACTTGAATGACCAGCTGAATTTGTCTTATTTTTTCTCTGTTAACCTTGATTTTAAGACACTTTTGTGAGGTGAATAATAAATAAATTGGGCTTATTTACAGAAACAGTTATGAATATATGCTTGCTAGTGGTTGATCCCATAGCACAATATCCAATGAAATATCCTCACCTGCTGTTTGAGCTGCACTCTAAATAATGTCATTCATTTTAAACACTTTGATTCCCTTTGCTCCCACACACACACACACACACACACACACACACAAGTATTTTACAGTATAAGGTCAATCGTCAACTGTCAGCCAGAAGAAAGACTGTGTTTGGCTATAAATAGCATAGCCCATAGTGGAAGGATAATCAGCTGTTGTTGCAGTTGGATTGTTTCTTTTGTTGTGACTCTGCCCTGCCTTAGTAATGAGAAGTTTGAGCGGGTGTGTTCCTGTAGTTATCATCAAGAATGTATGGGAGAGTAGGTATGAGTTTCGTGACTAGATTTCTTATACTAGACGTATTGGCACATTTGCTTTCACGAGGAAGTGCATTCTTGTCCAAATATTAGCTCAAGCTCATGTGTTCATTTACCAGCATATGTTTTGGAGAGTTGGTTAATTTTAAGTCAGATAACCAGTTAACATGCATAATGCAATCAGATTACTTTTGATGTAACAAGTAACACATTACTAGTAACATGGATTACGTAATCAGATTGCTTTTGGTCTAACGAGTAAAGTTATGCATTACACACTTTTTCGTAATCACATTACTTTTTTGATGTAACAGCAAATCACATTCTATTAACAAATAATTTTTTACAGACAAAAAATGACTGCAGATGAAGTCTTTTCAAGTAGCTACAACAGCCACAGTAATAGTATTGTAAGTTGAAATATAACTAGTGATGCATGATGTCCAATTTAGTAGGCCTATCAGAGTTTCCTCCCAATCTAAAATCAATACTTGGTAAATTTAGCAATGAAAATACTCCTTAGATTTTACTTGATGCAAGAGGTTTATGTGTAACTATGCCATTAAAAACCCATGCATACGCATAAAAAATCTTTTTGAAAAAACCTTAATATCTTAACTTGATGGGAAACAGTCAGTGTAGATATTGGATATTGGCCACTCTTGAATATAGCCAACTATCAACATCAATGAATTATCTGGTAATCAAACTAGGCCTACGTGATGATTAGCCTGCCATCTGGCGCTTCGGAGAATAGCGCGCGCAGGTAGAGTGCCTCGAACAGCTAGGCCTAAACAAAGCAACGTTCGCGTCATGTCAGCAAGGAGAACTTTCTCAGAATGTCTAGAATTCAAGAAAAAAAGTTGAATCGGCAAGATATGGTGTCTCAGTTGGATATTTTGGCTGGGAATCACATAGGATAACCATGTTAGGGTTTGGTTAACCTGACTAAAATAATCACGTACCTTGTAATATTGTCATTTAAATCATTAGTCACTGTTCGAGGCTATACTTGTTACAGAAGCTCAAATCTCTGTTGTCATGAGCACAACATTTTTAACGCAATCTGGCTTTAATACAAATCGGACAAGTTGAACAATTATCCAACTGTTTCAGAATGCGCATGTGATTTGCGGGAATGTTAATCTGTTCAGGTTTCAACGTGTAACTCGGATATGTGTGAGTAAAGGCTATGCATGAAGCAAATTTTACAGCTTGGCTTTGCTGTAATAAAAGGTAGAATTTCGAGGGCGACTGCACTCACAGCATCAACATCCCGCCCAAATAGTGATGCCCTCATTCTTTTCTGTCGGCTTATAACTGGGACAAAAGACTTTCTCCAAGTTTGGCCTGCCCCTTTAAACAGCAGTGCAGCCCTAGTGGTGATTATCGGACTGTCCGATTCCCTGGAAACTCTGCGGCGCAGCTCTCACTTTAAACCGGGATCATGGCGGCTCCGCTCGGGCGGGACACACTACCTGATCACTGGTCCTACGGAGTGTGCAGGGATGGCAGGGTTTTTTTCATCAAGTAAGCAGCATGCTAGGGGTTTAATCACAGTCGTTGCGTTGTACTGTGGTTCTGGTAAATCTGCACATTTTCCAAGGGGTCTCGTAACAGGTGTTTCTGTTTTCCAGCGACAAAACTCGCGGCACTACTTGGCTCCATCCCCGCACTGGTGAACCTGTCAACTCGGGACACATGATACGATCAGGTACAGTAATAAACCATGCTTTCTAGTCTAAACTTTGAATCCTTAGGGCGGATACTGCAAGTGAGTGTGTTTAAAGTAAGCTGTGGAACATGTCCTTTGCATAATTGATGGAGGGCTACTTTCTGTTTCATTAAAAACTTAATGGAGTTTTGTATAAATATTTCTCTCCCATTAGATTTACCGCGGGGATGGGAAGAGGGCTTCACCGAGGAAGGCGCCAGCTACTTTATAAAGTAAGCGATAGTAAATTTCTGTTTTTGTCCTTGTGAGACCGTGAGGATGCGAGTGCAACTGCAAAGCCCTCCCCAACGAGCGCTCACTCACTCCCGTCTCTCGCAGTGATCAGTGTCCGCTGTCTGCTCGAGCCTCCATGAGTCAAGAAAAGACAAATATGAATCCAGTCGGAGGATTGTTTGAATGTTTACTGCCGAATTGCTCTTGAGTGTAGATTGTGGGAATGAAATCAGACAACTGATTTCCATCTATCAGTCTGTTAATCCATTGGTTTGTCCAGTTATCATTGTTTATACAGTGATCAATCTGATATCCATCCATCCATCCATTCGTCCATCCATCCGTCCATCAATCCGTCCATCCATCCGCCTGTCTGTCTATCTGCCTGTCTGTCTGTCTATTCATTTATCTAGTAATCAGTCAATCTATCCATATGTCAACATCCATAGTGAGCAGCAGAAGTGAGATGAAGTGGACTTTGGCAGGGAGAGAAGTACAGCTAAGTGAGCTGCCTGGAAACATTAGCTGCTTAGACAGTGCTTCTCAAACCTGTCCAGAGGAACCCACCATTGCACATTCTGGGGCTGAATCCGAAATCGCCCCCCCTAAACCCTCATTCAATATTACCTACGTTAGTCCACAAATACTGTTCACTTGAAGGAGTGAATGAAAACGAGTTTGCGAATTCGGACAGCTGTTGAACGTACATCAATTGTACACTGGTTATTTCGGTGCAATGTGGGATAGAATGAGTGCACTCAATATTGTCCACTATGATTTTGGACACCACTACAAATGCCTGTCCCATCAAATAACGCCCTTTATGAGGGTATATAGGGGGCGTTTTCGGATTCAGCCTGGATGTGTCCCTCTGTCTGTACTAATGAGCTGATGAGTTGAATCAGGTGTGTTAGATGAGGGAGTCATACAAAATGTGCAGTGGTGGGGGTCACCAGGACAGGTTTGAGAAGCCCTGTGGGCCTGTGCTGAGTATTGGAATATTAACTGTGGGAGCTGTGGTCAGTGGTGCTGCATAGAATGTTGCCTATATCGCCTGAATATGACGGGATGTGTGGCTTGGCTTAGCCTGTCAAGGACAACGATTTTTTGTTTATGTATATTGATATTGTATAAAAATGTGTTTTTTGACATGTCATCCTCTTCAGTTGTGATTACATTTTAAACAAAGTTGTTCTAGGTGCTATTGTGAATTGGTAGCATGAATAATAGTACAGAAATAAAAGCATCATTTCGGCAATAAGATGTCATAAGCGACAGCGTTGCAACTTGCAGTATTCCCTAGATAATGTTTCCCAAGGTAATTCTGTACAAATGTATTAAATACGTTTGTATTAATGAGCCAGCTCATGCTGTAAAAGATGATTTCCCTTGGAACCATTAGATGCTATTTTCAGCTTTTCATCTGAATGGAGTGTATTAATGTTGGAATATCAGGAATATTTCAGTATTAGCCTACATTATTAAAACAATCCGTTATTAATTTAACATGTTTTTTTTTTTAACCTTTGTATAGTTTGGTAGAATTTCAGATTGAGATCAGCACAGCATTTTTCTGTTAGGCCTATAGCTTTATCTGTCTATAGTTTTCTTGGATCACATTAAATTACAAGTGATAATGGGAAGGAGATCTGATTGTGTTTGATCTAAGCTATATGTTGACATAGAGAATCATTAATTCTGATTATAGGGCCCTCACTACTGTTTACAATCACCCATGCAGCCCATTACCTCTCTCTGTGCCCATTTAATGCTGGAAATAAAGGGCATTGCCCAGCAGGATTGGATGAGGTTTTCTCATTAAAATTCTCCTCATGTACGGCAATGTGCAGGACCTTAACCCTCCCCGTTTAGCGGATGTTGTACTCTGTCTGTGCATGTGCCCATATGCCCGTGGAATGACAGAGATGTATGGCGAGATCATACAGCCAATTCATGGTGGCTTGGCTTTCCAAAGTCACTTTACCCATTCAGCTCCACTACTGTGGAAACCACAACCAAACCACCATCATCATCATAGCCAAAGTATCTAGTTATTCATAGTCGTTCAACGTCTTTTACTGTTTCATGTGACGTATAAGAACGTTTTTTTTTTTTTTTGCTGACAGATAACTTGTTTAATTGAATTGAGAAATCAACCCGGCAGCTGGCAGTAAACAACCGATGTGATTGCACTTTATGCCGCACATTAACAAACCAATTGGGGCAGCAGAAGCAAATGAGAGGCAATGTGAAGCTACTAGATAAGATATTCCCCATCACGGATTCGTGTCTGAATTGTGTAGAGTCCATCTTTGCTGGCTTCTACACAATTGCCATGCAATGATTTGCTGCAGGATTGCAGTGAAAATAATGTTTACTTGTGGCTTTTTTTTCAATAGCTTAGGAGAGTCCTTGAACACATTCACCAGAGTAGCCTATATAAAGTACATGATCCTACAGTGACCTAATGCATCTTGTGGTAACTCAGTTTCTTTATTGAAATTGTATGTTTGTGATGTGACCTTCCTCTGTATTACTCATTAGTTGTTTTATTCAACATAAGTCTCATATGGATCGTACACAGATGCCAAAATATCATGCAGTCTCTGCATCTGAGAAACCTACCAACGAGAATACATGACAATCACCCAGTTACGGTATCTTGATGTGCCACCAACGTAGCCCACGCAATCCAGAATGCCTTAGAGTCTTCTTGTACTCTTCTTTGCATCTAAAAAGCACCACTTTCCCATAAAGCTGTTTATTTGTCAGTTCAATGCTCCACTGGTGTCTGACCAGAAAAATGCATCCCGACAATGCTGCTGTAGTGAGGGGGGTGTTTTAAAGGTCAAAGAAAATGATTTTAGAAATGTGTTATTGCTGACAGTTTTATTGTGGGGCATGTGAAGGGACTCATTGTGCTGCATCTGGGCACAGTCAAATACTGAACAGTGCAGCTCAGAGGCCTTCGAGAGCTGAAATGTCAAGACTGTAATAAAGTAATGAACTTATTTGTGGGCTAAATGACATTTATAGTTCCTGTTTTGATCCTGCTGGACATTGTCTTCGTGTCATTTTGTGTTAACGTGCTAGAAAAGGAGCTGATTGTTTTTTTAGGCAAAGAAAGCTAGAATAGAAAAGCCTGCATACTTTGTTGCTTATTTCTGCCTTTTTAGGTATGGAGAGAGCCTTCCACTGCTTTAATCGGCCCATTTTGTGGTTTAAATTGCATTGTTTGCTGTCTGTGGTTATTTGACTCACTTATGCCAAAGAATTTATCATGCACCATTTGTGTAAAGACTGGCAGTCACAAGTGGCTGTGTGCTTTCCCTCACTTCAAACTTTATGAGAAGATATTTTTTTTCTTTATCCTCTTGTGGTTTTATAAATCAACATTCATTGCCGTAGACTGCAGTACAGTATAGAGTACAGTAGAGTACTGGATGTTGTTAAATGTGCAGCAGAATGGAGAGAGTGATGCTTAGACTGTCCTTGAGACAAAGCATGCTTGCGTTACATTAGCCACTCTCAGAGACCATCATTTCTGCTGATGTGATTATTATTTTTGTTGTTCATGGGGGACTGCTCTGTATCCGGCATACTGGATTATTATCCAAATTATGTTTGATATACTGCAGGCTTGAATTATGCCAAACATTTAATAAGTCCCATAAAACGTATAGCTAATGGATTTAGTGTATGTCTGTATCCATCCAGCATCCATCTAATTAAGTGATATGAATGGGGAAAAAGGGTCTCAGATGTCCCCACTCATTTTGAGACGGAGAGGCACATGTTCTCCATCACTGTATGCAGGAGACAGGTGGATCTTCAGTTGACCTTTAAAGAGGTCATTCTGTGAAACCGGTGCCTTTTCCAGTTTGATAGGGTGTTTCTTTAAAGTAAATTTTAAACAGATTAAAAACATTCTGTTAGTGTTATTGTGCAATCTCAAGATAAATGAATACATTTTAACATGTTGGAATATAATTATTAACAATCCAATGTATTATATAATCTACAATCCATATATATATACACTGTTCAAACGGGTGGGGTCTGTAAGAATTAATGTTATTTTTTTACATTAATGGTTGTATTCAGCAAGGAAGGACACATTAAATTGGTCAAAAGTGACCGTTTTAAGACATTTACATTTCTGAAGGATCATGTGACACTGAAGACTGGAGTAATGACTGCTGAAAATGCAGCTTTGCCATCACAGGAATAAATTACTTTAAAAAAAACCCTGTCAAAACTGTAATAATAGTTATAATATTACTGTTTATATTACTGTTAATATATATGAATCAAATTAAATCTGAATATATACTGTGTAGAGAGGGAAAGATAAAATGCCAGCTTTTATTTTCATAATATATTTTTTCATCACAATATGCATAATATATTAGCTGATGTAGGCCTACATGTATGACAGACACTGGGCACCTGTATTCTTAGAATGACCTATATGACTTTATTAGGAGGTTGTGACTCAGGACAAATGATTTCTGAAAGGTCCTCGTAGGTCAGCTCAGCGTGAGGAAAACCTATTGAACTCAGTGGACATCTGAAGGGTTTGGCTGAGTCATAAAGAGTCAAGGTGATTCATCTCTGTATCCCGCATTGGTTTCTCAGTCTCAGAGAGTGAATGGCAGGTGGTCTCAGCAGGCCTCCGCTCCAGCCTGGACGATCAGACGTGTGAGGAATAGTGCCTGTGCGGAGACGTCCTTTCCACTCTACATCTGTCTCGCTTCAGCAGCTTTTCAGAAGGGTCGAGGGTCAGTGTTGTTTATCAGAGTGACAGTATGTCCTTCCTCTTACCAAGAGCTCATATTGGCAGGTTCACACATAAGAGATTTTTCCTATAGGACAGTCAGGGTTGCCCTGAGTTTGAAAGCTTTTTGTGCCAGTTGGTTAGTTCAATCTTTCTCTTACAATAAGTTTGCCAGATTATTTGGAGTAGAATTTGTTCTAGCTGAAGTCATTTGATTTTCAC